AAGAGAAAACCTGGATTAACACTATTGAAAGCCTTCAATATGTTGATTTTTTAAGCATGTTAGTGAGTGGCATAAGATCCACGATTGAACCTCTCCCAACAACTCGAGTTATTAGTATCAACTGGTTCTTGACATGGTATTAGAGTCTTCTGTGGTCGAGAGTTCTTCTGTTCGAATCCCGGTGACCCCATTTGTGAAGCACATTTATTCTTGTATTCAGGACATGTGCAAACGAAAGCTCTTATGAGTTGACTGACTTTCATTTGAGGGGGTGTGAAAGAACCCTGCTTCTAGGGATTCTAGGGACTGATCTTCGGCACCCGTGAGATTGGGATTTAGGGGTTGAGATTAGGGATTTAGATGAGAAAGAACATAATAGAATTGGGAATCAGCCAAAGCCTTGGATTGGGTGAGACGAGAAATTAGGAGTTGAGAGGAATTAGGTTTAGAAGGATACTTTGATTAATACTTTTCTTTTTTTATTATGACGTAAACCCAAAGTACATATTTATAGGAAATAAACTCAAAACCCTAACAATTAACCCTAATATACTCGACCACTCTAGCCACCTAACCCTACTAATACGCATAACACTATCAATTATTATTATTATTATAATCATATATATTGCTAACAGGGTGTGTTAGTGAGTGGTATATGATCCACGATTGAACCTGTCCCAACAAGTCGAGTTATTGGGATCAACTGATTCTTGACAAAGCACACCTAAGGGACACATTACACATTTAATATAAGGTTATTGATTTGTGTTTATAAGGTCAGACATAACATGGCTTATTTTAGAGGTTAGGATTTTGGATATGCATTTATACACAACTGTGCAGTAAGAAATTGGTCTAAAAAACTTCACGACGCTAGGATTTTGGGATTAGAGTAAGGATTGAAAATGGAGAATGTGAGGATTTAACAAGCAATTCACGCATTTTCCAATTCTGCTAGTCTGTGCAAGCCGCTACGGGCAGAGGGAGAGGTTTAGAGGGTGGGTCCGGGATCCACCTTTGTTAGGGAGAAAAAATGATAAATTAAGTATAATAGTTAATCACAAATAAAAAGGAACACATAGTTAAATGAGAATGGTTAACCTTTCACATACTTGATGTATAATTTATGAGTTATATATTGGCATATTCAATGTTTTTATAACTAGCTATGTACAAATGAAAATGGTGCATATGATTCGCGCAACATTAAAGATATACTTATTCAATATCTATAACAAATTATCACCAAATCATAGCTAACAGTTAAGAATAATTTTATTTCAATTAGGGGTAGGGAGATAGCAACGGGTGGCTCCTAAGGACGAAAATGAATAAATTAGTATAATAGTTAATTAATTGAGAATGAAATTTAGGACACTTCTAATTTAGAATGGTTGACCGAGTGATCATGTGTTCGAATCTTGGCGACCCCCATTTGTTAAGCACATGATATATGGATATTTGCGAAAACTTTAAGCACGTATAAGTTGGTTTTCGTTGACGGGGAAGTGTAAGTAAAACTAAATAGTATAAGATCCATTATTAAATCTTTTCCAACAACTCGTGTTATTGATGTTGAACGGTTTTGAAAAAGAAAATCATTCAAAAGCAAATTTCTTACTAAATCACGAATTATTGTTTGATAAATATAGAGTGATATTCTTGATAATTTTAGTGTATATTTATTTACCAAGGTTTTGTAAATACAAAATTATATAATAAATATTTAAAAAGGTAACAAAATTGTTTTATTTTATGTACTTTTTTCTAAATGGACCCATAATCGACAAAATCTTGATTACGCCCTGAAGTAGCCATCCATTACCTCCGGCTCAATGTGTTTTCGATGTGGAGGTTATGCAGAAAATCTCATGTATGTGGCGATGACTTAACGTGTTTTCGATGTGGAGGTTACGCAGAAAATCTCATGTATGTGGAATGATGTGAACCGTCAACATTTCGATTTGAGGTCTGATCGAGCAATTTATAGACATGTCAAGCTCATCAAGTAGCTTAAAACCTAACTCGACTCATCACGTTTCCTGCAAACATATGAAACCTTTATCAAGTGAGGCTCGAAGCTCGACCAGCTGTACAAGTGTTGTAGACGCATCTACAAGAGCTGTTAGGGGGTAAGAAAGTGAAAGTAAATATGGAGTACAAAGGATGGATGGTTGGATGAATGAATGGAATCATATATCTCATTAATAGAAGTGAGCGAGAAGGGGAATAAATGAGGATAGCAAGTAGGAAGAAGTAGAAAAAAGGAGGGAATTTTCTCGTGAAACGCGGGAATTGCTATATACTATGGATGGGAAGGATGAGGAGAGTTAGCAGCAGTGGCGGGAGTCATTAATAACTTCAAGGAAAGGTCAGCTCTGCTGTGTTCAGTTCAGACTTGAGAGGCAGGCAGCAGCCGTACGTGTAGGGCATTGCTTCGGCCACACGTTGGAATACTAAATGCTACCACACTCCTCTTCGCATCACAATTCACAAAGTCACAACTCCAAATATATTTTCGCATGAGATAGAACATTCACATTAATATTTAATATAATTATTATTAAGTATCACTTCTTTTAGCACAAGAAAAAGATTGCTTCCTTACTTACCCCTCCCACACCTTCTTTTGGAGCACCGCTTCTACGTACTTAATTAGTTTCTTTTCTTAGTCATAATCTTCATGATCCTGTATAATATTTGTATGGCATGAACTTTGCACATAATAAACATCATGACCAATCTTTTCGATCTATAATATCCTGGCTCAAATTATATATCAAAGTAATGAAATTGGCCAAACCCGATTTTTGACCTTTATCCTAGATTGTCAAACTCATTGACTAACGGTCAACGCGCCACGTCACTGCCAAATCAGCAACTTTCACTTAAATATTTTTATTTTTTCCACCTATTGCCATTTTTCTTTTTCTTGGTTCAAAATGAAACTATTATTTTCTTCCTTCTTTTGGTTCAAAATGAAGAATAAAAATGACAATAGGTGGAAAATATATTTTTTTTAAATGACAGTTGCTGATTTGGCAGTGACATGACACGTTGACTGTTAGTCAACGCGTTTGACCGTTAGTCAACACGTTTGATCGTCCAAGATAACGGTCAAATATCGGGTTTGACCAATTTCGTTATTTTGATGTATAGTTTGGGCCAAAATATTATAGATTGAAAAGATTGATTAAGATGTTAATTATGTGCAAAGTTCAGTCCATACAAATATATTAACATTAAAGTATACTTAACAAAACTGATTGAGAGCAGTGTTACCATAGTGAGTGTGGAATAGCCACTCTTCCATGCAAGAGATCATGTGTTCAATTTCCCACTATTTCAACCAGAAACATGTGTTGGAGAATACGTAGCATATGTAAATCTATGTTAATTGTTTCATCAATTATAAGGCTAATAATTGGTTAGGTAGTTATTGAGTAAACCACTGATAGTTGAAATGATAACAGCTAAGGATGTGATAGGCCGGAATAGGATTAGTTGCTAACTCCTTCTAGGGATAGCACGGTACTAACTAAATCAACAGCCATTAGATTAAAAAAGGGTAATACTTAGCTGCAACCTAGGTTGCCGCCTGCTCCTACTACCCCTCCACATGCCATCTCCTCATTGGCTTTCTTTTTTCATTTTCCAAAAACTTCAAAATCTTATTTAATTTTACAAACACGGTTTATCAATTTCACGGCCACCACACCCAGTACGCCGGCGAGGATTTTGACCGGACACAGCTTGGGGGATTGTTTGGCGATTCTTGCCGCATTCGATCCCATCGAAACACTCCGGTGACCGGCAATCGTGTACAATAGCGCGCAAAAAGGAAAGAGAACATTAGACGAAAGGGTGAAATCCTTCGACAACCTGAAAATCCTTCACGTACAGAAGAAAACCGACATTCTGATGCATTACCTCGGGCCACTGCTAGGCTATGTATCGATATTGGTGACAGATCTGGTTATCGACGCCATGGAAAATCATCCACATGTGTATATGATAAACAATCAAATTAAATGGGCTTTTGAAGATTTTGGAAAATGAAAAAAAAAAGATAGCCAATGAGGAGACGGCATGTGGAGGGGTAGCAGGAGCAGGCGGCAACCTAGGTTGCAGCTAAGTATTACCCATTAAAAAATAATCCTTGGGTCAAAACTTAATGAAGGATAATTTGGCCATTTCTGTAGAATAAGGCACGACAGTAATGCAGGCACTTTTTCTGTTGTTGGATGTGTTACTGCATTTAATGAGGGCCATTGATTAATAACTAGACTTAAACCAAAACCGGTTGAACCTATATATTTGGTTGCGAATTTATATTTAAATTCTTTATTACAATTCTTTTAATACTCAACGGAAACACAAATTAATCATTTTATTTATTTCATTGAGGTTTGTTCCGTTTTACCGATAGTAAAATTTCTAAAAATCATGGGTGCTCATTTTTCCAAAATAATTATGCTTCCCTGTCGAACAATTTGATCGGAAAAAGAAGGATATATAAATGGTTTGATCATTCAATCGCCCCTAATTAATGACGATGAAGGTTTCAACTAAAGGGGTTCCACGTGTGGGTGGTAATGGTCGACCAACGACAGTGACGATGATGGTGGATTGCCACGGCAAAGACGATCTTGGGGATGATCGGGCGGCGACAACGCCACTAACGATGGTGGTGATTTCAGTAGACTGGGATTTGAGAACTGGGTTGATGACGACCGATTGATGGCAACAACCATGTTGGTCGTGGATTGATACGACAGAGATGTTGTCGGCGGTGACAACAAGGCCTATGATGGTGGTGATTTCAATTAATGAGGGGTTCAAGATCTTGATGGTGATAGTCGACCGGCGACAAAGGCGATGATGATGGCGGATTTTTGGTGCGACTAGAAGAGTTTGCCTTACTTCTCAGTGGAAAAGTCGAGACAAGAATTAAGGAGTGAAAGAAGATGGAAGCCGGCTTTTGTTTTTATCTTTTTTAATTATGTATTAATTTATTAGCTAAACTAGGCCCAACCAAAAACCACAAACCCAACCATCTTGTTGAAACCGGCCAAAAACTTGTGATGGCTTGGGTGTCGTAGCGGCACCACAGAATTGTCGGGATAATTTAGTCAATATTCTTTCAAACCCTAGCATAAATACATATTTTTCTATCAATCCCGCTCATGTCTCTTCCTGTCTCTCTCTCCCAATAAACTCAGAACCATCTATTTTCTCCTTGAAGCGAAATAACTCCAATCTCCGGCCACCCATGCGCTCGACTGCGCCGGGCTCGGCCTTGCCTACAATGATCTCGCATGCCTCGGGCTCACGCGTACATGCTCGCTTGCACGTAACGGCTTCGTCAACCCCCATGTCTGCCTCGCCAGCACTCGCATCGACCTCGCCTTCGTCGTGTCGCCGCTTCCCTCATCCACCTCTTCGCCGTCCACCCTTCTCTGGACGAATACATAGTCAATCGCCCTGAAGTACTCCGCCCAATGCCATCTTCCTTCGCCGACCCGAAAAAAGCTGAGATTTGTCCCAGCAATGGGGAGGCGCCCTAAAGTGCTCCTATTCCCACACATATATTGCTAAATGGGGATCTTTCCCCTGATTGTTTCTTATTACTGTGATTGTGTTCTAGTATTTTTCTAATGTATTTGTAATAATTTTTATTGGATTGAGTAGTGATTGTTGAAATTAAACAAATTTTAATTAATAAAAATATCTAGCAAAAGAAATCAGAAAGGCCTAGAAGTGATCTACGTGAAGGAGATTGAGAAGTGTCGATAAGTTGTTAGTTGTGAATTTAATGAGTTAGTTGCAATAAACAAAACAAAAAAAATGGGAGCCACAATGTAAGTCGGTTGAGAGTAGATATTTGAGTGAAATTGGCCTATAAATAGGCATGGATGTAACCGTGTATGGAGTAGAGCAGAGAGTTCAAAGCAAGTATCAATAAAGAAAGAGTTTCCTTCTCCACTCCTCTGCAAATCCAAAATCCCTCTTCCAATCTCCAACTATAAAAACCCAAAAGCTTTCTTTCCTTGTACAAAAACGTGGCCATCATATCAAAATTCCAAATTCCATTTTCTTAGCCCATAAACGTGCCGACCAAGTTGAGAAAGGAAATAATTAATTTATTTCCAACAAAGTGGTATCAGAGCCCGAGTTATTCTTAAGTATGCTCTGTGGTTGCAGCGTAGTCTGAACTTCCGAATCAGAAAAGAATTTCTTGTGTTTTTGTTATCACGATTGTCCCATGGCCGAAAAATCTACTTTCCCCATTCAATTCCCCCACCTTACCAAAACCAATTACAAAAATTGGTGCATTCGTATGAAAGCCTTGCTTGGATCCCAAGATGCTTAGGATATTGTCGAAAAAGGCTAGGAGATTCCCGTAGAGGATTCTCGGTTATCTCCTGCTGAGTAGTGATTGTTGAAATTAAATAAAGTTTAATTAATAAAAATATCTAGCAAAAGAAATCAGAAAGGCCTAGAAGTGATCTACGTGAGGGAGATTGAGAAGTGTCGAGAAGTTGTTAGTTGTGAATTTAATGAGTTAGTTGCAATAAACAAAACAAAAAATGGGAGCCACAATGTAAGTCGGTTGAGAGTAGATATTTGAGTGGAATTGGCCTATAAATAGGCATGGATGTAACCGTGTATGGAGTATAGCAGAGAGTTCAAAGCAACTATCAATAAAGAAAGAGTTTCCTTCTCCACTCCTCTGCCAATCCAAAATCCCTCTTCCAATCTCCAATTATAAAAACCCAAAAGCTTTCTTTCCTTGTACAAAAACGTGGCCATCATATCAAAATTCCAAATTTTATTTTCTTAGCCCATAAACGTGCCGACCAAGTTGAGAAAGGAAATAATTAATTTATTTCCAACAAAGTGGTATCAGAGCCCGAGTTATTCTTAAGTATGCTCTGTGGTTGCAGCGTAGTCTGAACTTCCACATCAGAAAAGAATTTCTCGTGTTTTTGTTATCACGATTGTCCCATGCCCGAAAAATCTACTTTCCCCATTCAATTCCCCCACCTTACCAAAACCAATTACAAAAATTGGTGCATTCGTATGAAAGCCTTGCTTGGATCCCAAGATGCTTGGGATATTGTCGAAAAAGGCTACAAGATTCCCGTAGAGGATTCTCGGTTATCTCCTGATGAGTAGTGATTGTTGAAATTAAATAAAGTTTAATTAATAAAAATATCTAGCAAAAGAAATCAGAAAGGCCTAGAAGTGATCTACATGAGGGAGATTAAGAAGTGTCGAGAAGTTGTTAGTTGTGAATTTAAAGAGTTAGTTGCAATAAACAAAACAAAAAATGGGAGCCACAATGTAAGTCGGTTGAGAGTAGATATTTGAGTGGAATTGGCCTATAAATAGGCATGGATGTAACCGTGTATGGAGTATAGCAGAGAGTTCAAAGCAAGTATCAATAAAGAAAGAGTTTCCTTCTCCACTCCTCTGCCAATCCAAAATCCCTCTTCCAATCTCCAATTATAAAAACCCAAAAGCTTTCTTTCCTTGTACAAACACGTGGCCATCATATCAAAATTCCAAATTCCATTTTCTTAGCCCATAAACGAGCCCACCAAGTTGAGAAAGGAAACAATTAATTTATTTCCAACAAAGTGTTATCAGAGCCCGAGTTATTCTTAAGTATGCTCTGTGGTTGCAGCGTAGTCTGAACTTCCACATCAGAAAAGAATTTCTCGTGTTTTTGTTATCATGATTGTCCCATGGCCAAAAAATCTACTTTCCCCATTCAATTCCCCCACCTTACCAAAACCAATTACAAAAATTGGTGCATTCGTATGAAAGCCTTGCTTGGATCCCAAGATGCTTGGGATATTGTCGAAAAAGGGTACGAGATTCCCGTAGAGGATTCTCGGTTATCTCCTGCTGAAAAGGAGGTATTGAGAAAAAATAGAAAGAGTGATCAAAGGCACTCACTTTAATTCATCAATGTCTTGATGAATCGATGTTTGATCAAATAGCATATGCTACCACGGCAAAGGAAGCATGGGAGATTTTGCAAAAGGAAATGCAAGGCGAGGAACCAGTGAAGAAGGTTCGACTTCAGACACTAAGGGGAGATTTTGAAGCCATTAAAATGAAGGAGGGTGAATCTGTTTCAGATTACACCGCTCGTGTGAAGTCAGTCGCCAGCAAACTAAAGCAGTATGGGGAGAAAATTGAAGAGACCAAAGTGGTGGAGAAAATTCTACGGTCATTATTACCAAAGTTTGACTATGTGGTGGTGGCCATGGAGGAAGTAAAAGACGTGTCAAAGATGACAGTGGATGAAGTTATCGGCTCATTGCAAGCACGTGAAGAAAGACTAAATTAAAGAAATGAAGAATCGTCTGAGCAAGTGTTAGCTACAAAAGCTACCACCGAGGAGAAAGAAGGTGCACGAGGAGGAGGTCAATACAGAGGTCGAGGCAACTACAGAGGCAGAGGAAGAGGAAGAGCACAAGAAGCATATCAAAGCAGAGATGGTGGAAATTTCACCACGAACTATGAAACGTCCACTAGAGGCGGAGGTCGTGGACGTGGATGTGGAAGAGGAAGTTGGAGATCAAATGAGGGTCGTGATAAATCCAACGTCTAGTGCTATAATTGCTCGAAGTAAGGGCATTATGCATCGGAATGTTGGAGTCCGCCTAAAGAAGTGGAGGAGACAGCAAACAACGTGCAAGAAGAAGTCAAAGGCACATTGATGCTGTCACATCAAGAAGATGAAAAACCGAGTGATAACATGTGGTATCTGGATAATGCAGCAAGCAACCACATGTGCGGTAAAAGAAACATGTTCGTGGATATGGATGAATCGGTGATAGGAAATGTCATATTTGGAGACTCCTCGAAGGTTCCTATCAAAGGCAGAGGAACTATACTCATTCGGTTGAAGAATGGCTCACATCAATCTATCAGTGATGTGTACTATGTCCCAAACATGACAAGTAACATCCTGAGTTTGGGTCAATTGATGGAGAAGAATTATGAAGTCCACATGGTGAATCGTCAAATGGAGATGCTAAATGAGAAGAGGCAGTTGTTGGCCAACGTCCCAATGTCGACAAACAGAATGTTTAGCCTGAACATTCAAACTGAGATGGGAAGTGTTTGAAAGCATGTGTGAAAGAAACTACATGGCTATGGCATCTAAGGTATGGCCATCTAAATTTTGGAGGTCTGAAATTGCTCGGTCAGAAGAAGATGGTGCATGGTCTGCCAGTGATCAATCATCCAGACCAGTTGTGTGAAGAATGCTTAGTTGGGAAGCAATTCAGGGCAAGTTTCCCGAAGGAGTCCCTGTCACGAGCCAAAGCACCGTTTGAGCTCGTACATGCATATCTCTGTGGACCGATCACCCTAACATCATTCGGGAAGAACAAATACTTCATATTGTTCATTGACGATTACAGTAGAAAGACATGGGTTTACTTCTTAAAGCAAAAGTCAGACACATTTGAAGCTTTCAAGAAGTTCAAGATGCTCGTGGATAATGAAAGTGGTCGTTACATCAAAGAATTGAGATCAAATAGAGGTGGAGAATTTATGCTGAAGAAGTTCAGAAGGTTCTGTGAAAATCAAGGAATTCGCAGGTTTCTCACAGTCCCACGATCCCCTCAGCAGAATGGAGTTGTTGAAAGGAATAGAACTGTACTCAACATGGCGAGAAGTATGATGAATAGCAAGAACCTACCGAAAGAGCTATGGGCTGAAGCTGTTGATTGTGCAGTCTACCTGCTGAACAGGTCACCAACAAAGAGTGTTTGAAATCAAACACCCCAATAAGCATGGAGCGGAAGGAAATCCACAATCTCTCATCTCCGAGTCTTCGGAAGTGTCGGATATGTGCACGTACCGGATCAAGAAAGGAAGAAGTTTGATGACAAAAGCAAGAAGTACATATTCCTGGGATACTCATTACACTCAAAAAGGTTACAAAATGTTTGATCCCGTGGAAGAGAAGCTGATCATCAGCAAAGATGTGGTAGTTGATGAAGAAGCAACATGGGATTGGACTGCTGAAGCAAAGAAGAATTACACTTTTTATCCATTCACTATGGATGAAAGTGATGATGAACCAGATACAGCTACACCTGTGACAAGTCCACCCAGTCACAGAGAGCCTGCCACCCCAGAAGGATAATCTAGTGAAAGTCCCCGAGAAAGGCCACAGAAGTATAGGAGAATTGAAGAAATTTATGAGGAAACTACAGCCATTGAAGGTGATGAATTGACACTCTACTGTCATATCATTGATAGTGAACCAGTGGATGTCGAAGAAGCCATAAAGGATGAAAAATAGAAAAGAGCTATGGATGAAGAAATTGGAGCAATTGAGAAGAACAAGACTTGGGAGCTTGTGTCACTTCCTGATAACGATGTAATTGCAATGTCGATCTTAAGTGTGGGGGGATGTTTATCTTTTGACTGCATTAGATCTGTTTGTGTGCTTGGAGCCTAGTCCACTGTCCAAATTTTTAAATTTGAGGGCTCCAAGTACGTGTTCCGTGCAATTGCCTGCTCAGTATGCTTTGAATTGACAGTCTTTATAGTAATATGCAACCTAGGGAGGTAGTGTAGCACTATGGAGGATGTTGATGCATTTAAAAAGTCTCATTTCTTCTTCATATTGTGTTGGTTGATTGAGTGAATTAGTGATCTTAGGACCCTTGAATTGTGTGGTGTTGTGGATTCTCTACCTGTCATGGGCTCTTGTATCATGTTTTGAGTTTAACAGGTGCTCGAAAATGGGTTTCAAAATAATGTCTCTCGTGCGAATAGGGCGAAAGTGTGTAAGGAGAGACGGGAATTTGTTCCCAATTTCCACCTACTACCTCCAGCCCCCTTACATGTCTTTCCCCCGCACGAGGCTCGAGACATCCGCTCCTGGCATGGCCGGTAAGAGCCCCCATTTTCTGAAAAGCAGGTTGGGACCCTTGAAAAAACATGATACAAGAGAAACAATAACAGAAAACAAGCAAAACAGAAAGAAAAAGGGGTTCCAACCATCTTCAAGAAGAAATTAGAGCACCTTGAAAAATGTGAGTCCATGATCCCTTGTTTTTTAGAATCTCTTCATCCATGATTCATTTGTCCTCTGCTCACTATTTGCCATGATGCCGACTCGATACTAGTGCTCTCGCCGAAGAAGCTATGAGATGACTTGTTCGTCGGTTGACTTCGTAAGCTGCTAAATGATCTAGGAAGTCCTCTACCTAAGGTCTGGGTTGTTTGTTGTTATAGAGGTCTGGAGAGTTGCATTGGTTTGAGTTAGGTTTGCTTGGGGACAAGCAAACGGTTAAGTGTGGGGGAATTCGATAACGATGTAATTGCACGTATTTGCGCCCCTAGTTCTTATCCGTTTGAGGGGCATAGTCGTGTATTTTTGGCCTATTTTACGCCGGGTTGTGCTATTTTGTCATATTTCAGGTCCCAGGCGTCAAAGGAAAGGCTAAGCACGAGTTTCGGGGCATTCGGAAGTCATTTCGTCGAGCTAGAGCCAAAACACGGGCACACCTAAAACAGAACACGGCCGTATTCTGTGGCCGTGCTTTTACTGCCGAGAGCTAATTGAGTTTGGCAAATTCAAGCTGCAAACACGGGCTGAAAGCACGGCCGTGTCCACCAAAGCACGGCCGTGTCCTCCCAAAAGCACGACTGTGTCCTCCCAAAAGCACGGCCGTGTTTCTCCCAGCAGGTGGCCGTGTAATTAACCCTAGCCAAAGCACGGGCGGGCTGAGGCAAAGCACGGCCGTGCCCTCGACCGTGCTTTGGCCACTGATGCCCTTTTAAGCAGATTTCAGCCAAAACAGAAGGGGATTTGAGTTTTTAGAGTGATAGAGCGATTCCTAGAGAGAGAAAGCGACAAAAAAGAGTCTCCAAGTGCCCTAGCTTGATCTTCATCACCATTGGAGGCCAGTTTGAGCTTGGAGAAGTGCCGATCAACGACCAGGAGCAGGAATCCATCCTTCACAGTATGAATTCCGCGTCTGATTCTGCTTTTGCTTCTTTCTCCATGGAGTAGTTCTCCCATCCATCTGGGTATGGAGAACCCTAGATTTGTATGTTAGGTTTGATTGTATGAACCCAAGTACTGATTCTATGATTTGATTATATTCAATTGAGGTTTGAATGATTGAATGGCATGAATCCTGATCAAATTCCTGTTGTTTCTGCTTTAACCTAGAATGAGAATATCTGCCTAGGTTGATAGAGCATCCTTGATTGAAGGTAGGGAGTTGGTGACTTTAGTCGAGGAGCCAACTCACTATTCTGTACCGGATTCACTCCGGTAGTGGAGGTTTTGTTTGTTAAGGCCTCAATCTGTTTACTCCGGTGGAGGTTAGCCGCCCGCTAGAGACTCAGATTGAGAGGGTCTGAAGACCTTTAGTCGAGACTTCAGGCTGTTTAAGAACCTTCCGCAGTATAACTATCATAGAAACTGAACTTGGTAATTACAATCCGGCTTAACTGCAGTCTAGGGGGAACCATATCCGGGTGACCTCTCTTTACCTGAATACAACCGTTTACTTGCTTTGTTAGTTTGTTAGTTTAGACTTGCATTAAAGTTTCATTGCTAGATAAGAAGAATTCACTGAGTAGTCATCAAATCTAGGACCCGGGTTGACATTTAAACCCAAACCCGCTATACTACACTTTAGGAGGTGGTTTCACTTGGCCAATACCTAGAGTGAAAGTAGAAGTGAGTCACTTCCTAAGAACCAGAAGCCAATCGGTGTGAAGTGGGTATTCAAGGCCAAGAAAAATGCTAAAGGAGAAGTCGTCAGACACAAAGCAAGATTGGTGGTGAAAGGATATAGTCAGAGACCAGGGATTGAATATAATGAAGTTTTTGCTCCCGTGGCGAGAATGGAGAGTATCAGGATGGTGATATCTCTCGCTGATCAAAATGGAAGGAAGATACATCAAATGGATGTGAAGTCAGCTTTTTTGAATGGATATCTCGAGGAAGATATCTATGTGGAGCAACCACCTGGATATATCGTCGAAGGTCAAGAAGATAAGGTGTTGAAGCTGAAGAAGGCATTGTATGGTCTCAAACAAACACCGAGAGCTTGGAATAGCAGGATTGACATGTATTTTTAGTAGAATGGATTCTGCAAATGCCCACATGAGCATGCACTATACTGCAAGGTGCAAGGGGGAGCAATATTGATGGTTTGCCTGTACGTAGATGATCTCGTCTTCACAGGCAACGATCGTAAAATGTTTGAAGAGTTCAAGGAGACGATGGTTCGAGAATTTGAGATGACAGACATCAGATTAATGTCATATTATCTTGGAATTGAAGTAAATCAAAAGGAGGAAGGAATTTTTATCTCACAGAGTGGTTTTGCCAAAGAGGAACTGAAGAAGTTTAAGATGGAGAACTGTAATCCTGTGAGTACACCAGCTGAGTGTGGACTGAAACTATCAAAGGATGACAAAGGAGAGAAGGTCAACTCAATGGAGTTTAGAAGCCTTGTCGGAAGCCTGAGATATATTACTTGTACCAGACCAGATATTCTCTACGCAGTTGGATTAGTCAGCAGATTCATGGAGGAACCAACTATGTCACACTGGAATGCTGTAAAGAGGATATTACGCTACATCAAAGGTACAATCGATCATGGTCTGCTTTATACTAAGTCAGAAAATTTCAAATTGGTTGGATACTACGACAGTGATTGGGCAGGAGACGTCGATGATCGCAAGAGCACTATAGGATTTGTATTTTTCCTGGGAGATACAGCTTTCACATGGAGTTCAAAGAAGCAAACTATCGTGACATTGTCAACTTGTGAAGCTGAGTATATTGCTGCGACATCGTGTGCGTGTCATGCGATATGGCTGAGAAAGTTGCTGAAGGAGTTGAACATGACACAGGAAGAGTCAACTGAAATTTATGTGAATAACAAGTCTGCCCTGGCATTAGCAAAGAATCCGGTGTTTCATGGTCGCAGTAAGCATATTGATACAAGATATCATTTCTTAAGAGAGTGTGTGCAGCATAAAGAAGTTATGCTGAAGTATGTGAAGACTGAAGACCAGATTGCTGATATATTTACGAAGCCGCTGAAGCAAGATGTGTTTGTCAAGATAAGGACGCTACTCGGAGTTACGACTAATTAAACTTTAAGGGGGAGTGTTGAAATTAAATAAAGTTTAATTAATAAAAATATCTAGCAAAAGAAATCAAAAAGGCCTAGAAGTGATCTACGTGAGGGAGATTGAGAAGTGTCGAGAAGTTGTTAGTTGTGAATTTAATTAGTTGCAATAAATAAAACAAAAAATGGGAGCCACAATGTAAGTCGGTTGAGAGTAGATATTTGAGTGGAATTGGCCTATAAATAGGCATGGATGTAACCGTGTATGGAGTAGAGCAGAGAGTTCAAAGCAAGTATCAATAAAGAAAGAGTTTCCTTCTCCACTCCTCTGCCAATCCAAAATCCTTCTTCCAGTCTCCAATTATAAAAACCCAAAAGCTTTCTTTCCTTGTACAAAAACGTGGCCATCATATCAAAATTCCAAATTTCATTTTCTTAGCCCATAAACGTGCCCACCAAGTTTAAAAAGGAAATAATTAATTTATTTCCAACAGTGATATATGTTAACTATTAGTAGTGGTTTGAATAATTATAATTTTTTTGTTCATTTTCGGTACTGTACGTCTTCATTTTCAATAGTGTTTCCGTTAAAGATCATAAACTATTTTTTTTTTACAAAAGAACTACTACTAATTAAAAAAACACTATTAATGATAATAAAGAGCATACAATTGCTACAACATCTTTGTTACATCACTACTAAGTGAGGTAGTAGTAGTAAGGTAGTATTAGTTTTCAGTAGTTGTTTTCACGTAAAAAATTATTTATAAGGGCGGAGAGAGATATTTAATAAATTTTATCTTCTAAAATTATTTATTTTCTTAAATTTTATTTTCTAAAATAAAAAAATATGTTCCTCGTCGCTTTCCACCGTCTAATTTAACTTTAAAGTAATGAACGAAGCAAGAATGGTTAGTATAGTGCTAACTCCTATAGAGTTAGCACTGTCAAAAGGTCTAATCTAATGGAAGAACGCCGAGTTTTTTAATGTGGTATCGTCAATTTGACACTAGTCCACAGAGAGGATCTTCCTCTCAGGTTTTTCTTATTATGATTCGTAACCTTTCAACTACGATACACAGGTAAATATATAGGTTCTCTCCAAACCCTAACTACACGGTTTACAGGATAATTACACATTGGTACTCGGACTTTCACAAACTAACACCCTCCCTTAAATTGATGTTCGGTACGTAACATCAATTTGGAAGATAGGTACCAATGCCTCCTCGAGCTTACTGCTTTTGTCAAGACATTTGCAGTCTGATCTTCTGTAGACAATTAACTGAGCTGAACAACTCCTTCTGCCAAAAGTTGCCTGATATAATGAACAAGTACCTCTATGTGTTTTGTCCAGTCGTGTAGTACCGGATATTCGCGATCTGAATAGCACTGGTGTTATCTCCATAGATACGCATAGGTATCTGACAATCTACTCCAATATCCTAAAACAAGCTCTGCAGCCAAACCATCTCCGTACTAACCTCCAACATCGACCTGTACTCTACCTCTGGGGATGACTTCGACACTTTATCCTGCTTCCGACAATGCCAGGACACAAAGGACCTCCCAATCTTAACACACCACCCTGATGTGGACCTCCTTGTGTCACGACAACCGGCATAATCTGCATCTGCATAGGCTTCCATGACCGGTTCTCCATCTGCAGGAAAGAATATCTCAACATCTCTAGTCCCCTTCAGGTACCACAATATTCTATGAACAGCATCCAAACGCGTTGTGCACGCATCTCCCATAAACTGGCTTACCACTTGAACAACATAGGCTATTTCAAGACATGTATACGTTAAATAGATCAAACTTTCCACTATACTTCTGTAGAACGTTTGATCTTCTAACAATACTCCATCCTCATGAGTGAGCTTCAAATTTTGTTCCATCGGAGTCGTGCACGGGTTGCAATCTACGAACTGAGCTATCTCCAACAGATCACTGATATACTTCTGTTGATTGACAAGCAAACCTGCGGCACTTCTATGTATCTCTAGACCTAGAAAATAAGACGCCTCACCCAATTCTTTAAGATTAAAGGCCGCGTGTAACGACTGCGTCAGTTCCTTAATTCTCTCTGTGTCACTCCCGGTCACAATCATATCGTCAACATACAAAAGTAGAACTGTATTTCCCTGAGCATTTTGCCCAGTGAACATTGACGGATCATTATGACTCTGTACAAAGCCTGCCTGAAGTATAGTGCCATGAAATTTTTCAAACCAAGCCCTTGGTGCTTGTTGCAGACCATAGAGAGAACGTCGCAGCCTACAAACCATCCCTGGTCCTCCCTTTGTATAACCCTCAGGACACTCCATATAGATTGTCTCCTTTAGATCTCCATGAGGAAACGCATTCTTCACATTAAACTGAACGATCTTCCACTGCTTCATACTGCAAATGCCAACACAATGCAAATTGTATGCATTTTAACCACTGGAATAAATGTCTCAACGTAATCTATTCCGTATTCCTATATAAATTCCTGAGCTACAAGCCTCTCCTTGTACTTGTCCAGTGTGCCATCCGGCTTCATCTTAATAGTGTATACCCACCGACACCCAATCACTAAACTGCCCGGAACTCGTGGAACTAAATCCCACGTGTTATTTTATTCTAACGCCTGCAACTCCTCCTTCATGGACGACTCCCATTTGATGTTTCCCTGAGCAAAGCGATAATGACGTGGTATATGAATAGCTTTAGCTGAAAATCCCATGTCAAAATCATCCAAGCATCTCGGCGGCTGTCCCAAATTAGCTCGAGTTGACCGCCGCGGTAGGGGCAATGGAGGCGGTGTATCAAAATGAAGATCCGAAGCACTTGAGCTTGATGAAGAGTGCTAGTGCAGATCACGGCCTTGACAGTCGTGACCTAGACGTGACCAAGTTCTAACCAGCCTAGAACGACACCGAATCTCCTGAAAGTTCGTGTTTTCCCTTCGTCTTCAAGTTCTTATATCACGGCCTCCTTTGTAAGATTAAGGTCGTGATCTTTGATATCACGGGCGTGGTCTTTCTCACGATCGAAAAGCTCCTTAACCGCGATCCAAGTGTCAAAACTTTCTTGCCTCTTGTTGGCTGTCTGCTGAAGTTCTAAGCCACTGTCCATGGTCGTGAACATGGCCATGCCTAGGGATGACAATTTTGATCTGACCCGATTTACCTGACCTGTTTGCGCTGTTTTGGGGCGGGTCCGACCCAACCTGCCCTGACCTGACCCATTGTCGACCCATTCTTGCATAATTACATGTAATCTTAGTCAAATTACTTAGGATTTTCCTCTTATTACATCATATTTTAGCTATAATAAAGTTGTAGGTGAAAACCTCAATTTCTCGAATAATTTAACTACATTTTATCATATTATGGTTTCTTTCTAGGTCTTTTAATGAAAATAATGAATATTTCTAATGTTTGTCGCATAAATTACGTACCCATTGGGTCGACCTTCCCCGACTCGCGCCCCATTATAAATTACCTGCCCTGGACCCGACCTGCCATGGGGCGGGTATGGGTATCGAGATACCCGACCTGCCATGGGGCGGGTATGGGTATCGAGATACCCGCCCCATTGCCATTCCTAGTCACGCTTGGTCAAGGGCAGTGAACATGGTCACCCCCTGGTCAAGGGAACCTTAAAAACTATACAAAGAGGACACGACTCCAACAACCGATGACACTCTTAAAGCAGGCTACCGCCTAACAAATCTTTCACCGACTTATGTGCAGTTGTCGAATCACCACTTTGGATTCACCATATGCTAGATAATGAGGGTGCATGAAGGTTGAGGGATAGTTCAAGAACTTGGAAATGGAATTGATGGGCAAGAGAATGGGCATGTGGCAGAGTATACTAAAAAATACTTTGTTACGACTATCATATCATGATCTTACCACTATAATAAGACTAACTGCACATCATACAACTATTATATCAAGATATTATATGATATCATCAAATTATTTTGTCAAATATAAAACTTCATACCAACATTATAGACTATCATATCATGATATGATGATATTTCATTATTTTGTCAAACATAAGACATACCAACAGCATATCACTATCATGTCAATATCATACTACTATCCGTGGTAATATTATAAAATCTAGTGGAATGATGACATGAAAATTTTTTGTTCAAAAAATATCGAAATGGGCATAATCTTTTAAACCACAAAAAATATGATATTTCTAAGCAAAAAATTATGAAATTCGATTTTAAACGAATGAGCTATGGTCTGTTGAATTTTTGGAGAAGATTTGAAAAATGCTTTTACAACACACCTTGAAATTTGCTCACTGCCCCAAATAATTGCTCTGCTGCCCAACATATTCGTGATCTCTCTCCTAAGTCTCTTATTTTCCTAATTGCCCCTTTATGATATGAATCATTGGATCTCTCCTTCTGAAATCAATATCATTAGATCATGTTTCTTAGTACTACGGATAGGAAGGTATTTGTACTCGAGCCTATTTATTAGTAAACGTATACTTCTACTATGCACAATGATCAAATAGGGGGGGGGGGTGTTAAGATGTAGAATTTGTGATCTCGATCGACTTGAATTTGAGATATCATTTTTAATTTTTTGATACATGTTTTTGAAACACATCATTGAATACACCTTTTATAAATAAAATTGTAAAACACATTATCTAAAATAATTGTTTGAAAAGGTGCGCTTAAACTTATGCTTAGACACGCATAGGCACTAGGCAATACCAAAATGCCTCGCTTAGGGTTCCCGTAGCGAATTAGGTATTGAGAAATGGGTGATGATGTAATTAAGGCGATGCCTAGGTGTCATCTAGGCATATTACGTGGAGCTAGACAATCAATATCAAAGAGAAAAATTAACATCATTTACTAACTCAATCTTTTCAGTAGCTCAAGAACTTTGTTAGCTATTAAGCTATGATTCTATGACTTGCGAACTATCTTTCTTGTTGTTAAGTATTAAGTAAATTATTCGTATGAAAAAAGTATTAAGTAAGTTATTAATCCTTTGAACCAAAGTGGAAAAGTTTTAAATTGTTATTTCATTCATCATGTATATACTTTGTTGTTTTTTCTTCCATCACCTAGGCATTGCTTAGGAGATGCCTAGGCAAGCTATGCGCTAGCTAAGGTCCCAACGCCCGTCTTATGCCTTGTTTGATGACACTTGATATTAGCAAATTTTATAACAATGTGCCTACATAAATTAGCTCCAAAATGCTCATGAGAAACAACCTGCACAAGGCTTGCCTTAACCCCAAATATTTCCCCAATTTGTGATATGGTGTCATGTCCTTTGTACCACATAGTTCTGTTACATCAAAGCATGTTGCTAATCCAAAAGCTTATCCAAGCAATACAACACCAAAACTCTCTCTCCTTCCCCCTCCAATATTTTTATCCAATCCTAATTCAACAACATTACATGCCAATACATGTTGGAGGATTCTGGTCTCTCTTTTGTTACGTCAATTAATTCTATGAACGAAAAGAACTAAACGATTAAAAAAAAATCAATTAACTCAACAAACAAGCAAAATGTGATTTGGCTTTCAATCTTCATATCTTCTCTTATTCACTAGATAAAAATTAACAATCCTCATTATCAAAGGATAATGCAAGCAATAGTTCATTAAATAACTATGTTATAATCCCTTCTCCCATGCGAATACATAGTTGACTGTGGAGTATTTTAGTCACATAGACTACTTCCGATTGAGCTTTCACATAAGTTCGGCATGTCCTGGGCTTCCAAAGTGAGTTGGGCTTGTCCCGTAACAACCCCCTTATATTGAAAAATAAATTTGTCCTCAAGGTTGAAGACTGGGACACAGCCTTGAAAGTCATCGAGATTCTCCCATGTAGCCTCCTCAATGTAGTGTCACCGTTGTACTAACATTTCTTTCAATGTTCGCACACCCCTGGTCACCAACCTCCCGCCGAGCACCTCAATAGGTGTTAGCTCCATATGGTTGTCAGCTGATAGTGATTGGCTTTTCAGTTTTGATTGGGTCTATTGTTCTCACATAAATTTGTAACAAGGAGAGGTGGAACGCGGGATGCACACTTGCACCTCTAGGTAGTGTCAATCAGTAAGCTACATCAATAATTTGTTTAGCTACCGGGTATGGGAGCACTTCTACTATACTATATAGTATTGGTGCTTTAATGTACAACTTGAAGTTGTACCATAACATTAAATGTATAAGTTTAGGTTGTACCATAAAGGAATTTGTATTATTATGTTATGGTACAACTTTACAACTTGAAGTTGTACCATCACATAAGGTACAAGTTTAAGTTGTACCATAAAAGAATTTGTACAAAAAGTATAGGTACAATCTGAAATTGTACCATAACATTAAAGGTAGAATTTCAAGTTGTACCATAAAGGTAAAAACCTATAGCACCAATGCTATATAGCATTGTAAAATTCCTCCCGGGTATGGTCCAACGTATTGTGCTGGTAATTTCTGCGATGCACATACAAAGAAAGTTGAACGTCGATACGAATGGTCGGAGTAAAACAAGGTATCTAACCTAAATTTGTGAGTCAAGTCGCATCCCATCCTACCTTTATTGGCTAATTATCATAAATGGTCACAAACCTATTCACTTTGTATAAAAATGGTCACAATTCTTTAATTTTGCACGTTTCAATAACAGAAGTTTGAACGAATAACAAATAGGTCAATCCGTCCACTTCCGTCCAAATATTTGTTACTTTTGCATAGTCAGTATGACATGTAATTAAATATATTAATAAAAATAATTTATTCATTTGAATTAACTCCACAACCCTAACCGGTTCAATAGCTTGGTTATGTACCCACCTGGCCGTAGGAGTCGATAGGCGGTAGAGTTCTAGGGTTCGCTGGAGAAAGAGAGAGGGAGAGGCGCCGTTCCGCCAAGGAAAGATGAGAGCTATGTTGCAAGAGGTGGTTGGGACAACAGGGGAATAAGAGTTGAGGAGAGTCGAGATCTCTCCCAGCAGCGCAGCGGGTGGGAAGAATTGATGTGGCTTTATTGTTGTTGATTTCGGGAGGAATCGGAGGAGAAGTCGCCGGTAGAGAAGGTGTCGTCGTCGTTGAGCTCGCGGTGAAGCGGCGGTGAAGTGTTGGAGAAGAATCGGAGTCTCTAGAAGGCAGTTCACTTTTATTTCGTAATTAATTTGATGGTCATCATAGAATTCTGACTTGCGTTGGTGAATTGAAGCTAGATTAGAGGTTTGATGACAAGCCCATTGTTGAAGATTGCAACGATGAAGACCCTATTTGCAGAGACTCTGAGGTGCAAAATTTTCTTAGGTTGCACCTTGAATCTTATATCTTCTGGCATTACAGAGACATTCCTCTATCACATTGACAATCACATGGTGAGAAACTCTGAATTGTACCTTCCTCCAACCGCTTCCTCGACGCCTTCTTCTCCACCACTCCGCCGCCGCTCCACCGTAGCGAGCTCCTCTGATTTCTCCCAAAATCAACAACAACAAAGTCACCTCAATTCTTCCCACCCTGCTGCGCCTCTACCTCTCTCTTTTCCAGCGCACCCTAGAACCCCACCGCCAGTCAAGTTTGCTCTTCTCCCTTAATGACGACGCCTGCTGTTGCGGCCTGTCTGTCGCTACTGGTAATAGCCAAATCGGAGGAATCGGCCAGGTGGGTACATAACCGAGCTATTGAACCGGTTAGGGTTGTAGAGTTAATTCAAATAATAAAATTATTTTTTATTATTATATTTAATAACATGTTATGCTGATTAGGCAAAAGTAACAGATTTTTGGACGGAAGTGGACGGATTGACCTCTTTGTTATTCGTTCAAACTTCCGTTATTGAAACGTGCAAAATTAAAGATTTGTGACCGTTTTGTACAAAGTGAATAGGTTTGTGACCATTTATGATAATTAGCCTACCTTTATTTCAATTTATTGCTGAGGTGGCCAAGTTCATCTAAAGCTTACTTAGACTGTCTCCAACCCAAGCATGCAAATTTGGAGAAAGGGAGGTTTTTGGCTTTTTTTCATCTCCAACCTACCAATTATTTGGCTTGCAAATTTGGAGAAGTGGGCTTGGGGGTGGATAGATAGAAACTTATATGGAAAAATGCAAGGAGAAGATGGGGGACCAACCATGGAACCCAAGCCCACACGATGGGGCCCTCCACTTTAAAGCATCTTTTTTTTCTTTTTTTTTTTTACTTTCTTAATTTTTGATTGGTTGGTTATGAGTTGGGAAGGCAAATTTAGAAGGTTTAGGGTTGGAGCAAAAAAGTGTTTTTGGAAGGTAAAAATGCACATTTGAGAGCTTGAAAGGCTAAATATAACCTTTTGGGTTGGAGTTAGTCTTAGTGCCTCATCTCTATCCTTCAATAACTTGTTTACTGCCTCTATTGGACTAAGTTGCAAAGAATATGGTATGATTGTTGGAAGAGGCCACCCATACATTGCTTGGAAATTTGTACAAACGTTGGCGTGATAAGTATTCTTATATCATCTTAACATGGCAAACCATCAGCTGGGTTGCTACTACGTGAAACATTGGAGATATTGCTCCAAGTACTGATTAACGGTTTCCATTTGACCGTCGGACTGCGGATGATATGTTGTGCTTATACGGAGTTTTGTTCCAACGTAGACTAAATGTTCTCACCATAATACGCTCAAGAAGATTACATTCATATCACAAACAATAGAAGTTGGTTCCCCATGCAGATGAACAATATGAGATATGAAATGTTCTACCAATTGTCGCGCCTTATATGGTTGTGCCAAAGGAATAAAATGAGTCGACTTTGTTAATTGGTAAACTACCTCTAGAAGTACATTCTTTCCATTGACTAGAGGTAGACCATCTACGAAGTCTATGGAAATATATTCCCTAATTTGTTGTGGCACCATAAGGGATTGAAGTAATCCTACAGGTGCAAGGTGTGAACGCCTTTACACACCAGAAAAATATTGCAAGAGGCGATATAATCATTAATGCTTCGAGCCATATCCGACCAATAAGATTAACTGGCGACGCCTCAAAGTTCGTTCTACCCTGAATGTACGCCTCCTAGCAAATCATAAACATCGTGGAGGATTTTGTTATTAACGAAAAATATGGAGGAAGAACGACATGTCCTTAGTAAATTATTTGACCAACCTAAGGTATAGACCCCGTGATTAGAAAACAAAACTATGTCTCGTAATTCTTGCATATAGGGGTTGTGCAGAACTTCCTATTGTATTTTGTCCTAGAAGAAATTTTGGCCCTAGCGACCATCATATCTAACGTGGCACCTTCTTCACAATATGATAACCCATTTGTCACCCTCTAGGTGGTACCGGGTTTATAATGCAGCTCACAGTCATATCCCAGAAGTTTGGTTAGCCACATATGTTGCTCATGCATTGATACTCTTTGATCCAGTAAATGCTTTAAACTTCTTTGGTCGGTATGGATGTGAAATATTTTTCCTATAAGGTAAGGCTGCCATGTTTGTACCGCCGTAATGGTGGCTAGGGGTGGTAAAGGGTAATCCGGTAAACGGTTTACCGTTTTACCGAACCGTTTACCGGCGGTATCGGCAGCCGAGCGGGAAGTTGCGGGAGTCGGTTTACCGGACACGGTATCGGTAAATACCGACGGTAAATCGGTATTACCGATACCGAATCCCCCCTCCCTACTCCCTTGTGCTACGCTGCGTTTTGTTGCTTTACCCCCAAAAATATAAAATGTTACATACTTGAATGTAAGTATAGGCCTAAAAAATATTGTAAATAAGAGTTAATAATAAATTATTAATTACAAAAATGATGAAAAAAACTCAAAAAAATCAAAATATTACAACATCACCCCACTTCCAGAAATTCGATTCGGTAAACCGCGTGAAATCGCTTCTCACGGTATTTCGGTAATACCGGTTTGTAACCGTTTACCGGTAATTCGGTAATCGGTAAACCGGTCACAAACCGGTATCGGTAATCGGTAACCAGTTTGGCCAACTTTGGTATACCGAAACCGGTAAATTTGGTAAACGGTAAATGGTTTACCGACCGAATCTCACCCCTAATGGTGGCCAGTGTTTCCCTCTGGTAAGTCAACCATGATTCTTTTGATGCTCTAAGAGTTTTGCTCGTGAAAGAAATCAGATGTTTCCTTTATGATAATATGGTTTCAATACCACAACCTTATGCATATGCTTCGATGATGAATGGGATGGAAAAGCTGGCACGGGGAGTGTGTGAGTTGACATCATTGCGAGTTTTAAGTCTCTGAATGCTTCATCGGCAATATTAGTCCACAAAAAAATCTTCTTTCTTCAATAAATCGGTGAGTATCCTTGTTATAGTACTATAATTATAGACGAGCTTTCAGGAATAGCCTGTAATGCCCAGGAGACCACGCAAGGTAGTGATGTTGCCATAGAATATTCAAGATTACTCTTAAATATTATGGATCAGAGGCCCATTCCTTGTTGTAAACCAAAATGTCATCGAAGGGCATTACTAAACATTCATAAGACAATTATGTGTTTAAGAGGCTATTTTGTGAACATTTTTGGGCGTCATACAAATATGATGGTAGACTGGTCACAATTTAATTGTGTGAAATATTGAACCCCATGTAATTCTACTAACATGTCTTCCACAATCTGAATCGAGAAACGAACCTGAATTTTTCCCTTATTTAAGTCCACATAATCCATACAAAACCTTGAGGTTTCTTTCATTCTTCCTAACATTAATATTGGCAACAAAAACGGGTTGTTGTTGGGTTGTACCAGGCCTGCATGCATCATCTCCTCCACTTGATTCTCTATTTTGTTTTTTTTAAATAAGAATATCGGTACGGCCGGACATTGACAACTTATGTATCATCCTGCAGTTGAATGCGGTGGTCCACAGTTCATGCCAGAGGAAGGATAGTGGGTTTCCCGAAAAGATCCACATAAGCGTTGAATATCTTTAGAATATCGAGTGCGACGATCTTGCATTCTTGTGGAATTTCTGGAATGCAAAGCATGAGGATAGCAAAGTCCTCACTATGTACAACATTCAGATCACTTTGGTGTTAGAAAGAGGTGCACATCCCCCGCAGTTTGCACTCCTCGCCTACCACATGAAGCCTCATCATGAGTTGATGCCAATCGCAAGTCATGGGTCCAAGTGTCTTCAACCATTGAATGCCTAGAATGACATTGTGGCCATTCACACCTAAGCCAAAAAAGGGTTACCTCAATTTCGATGTTATGGGGGTCGAGCACCATGGCTTTGCACTATCACCGATAGTTCATGGGGTTGTCATTCACTACCCCTACTATAAACAACTTCACTAGTTTCCCTTCCAACCATAATGCTCCCCCAAGATCTTCACTAATGAAGTTTTGGGATGATCTGCTATCGATTGGAACCACCACCTTCGAACTACGCAGTTTGATTCGTTGTTGATGATGTCGGCGATGTGATGAATGGATCAGAAATCAAAAATCAAAAATCGGTTTCTTTCCCTATTGGCACTATGCTGAGAGTTCCTTGCAATTTTAAACAGTTTCTCCCACAGTTTGAGATACTGTGAACTCATTGACATGGCTTTTGTACCAATTTTTACGTAGATTTGTTCTAAAAAACAGAAAAAACTAAATGATCAATGAAAAAAAAATTCAATTGATTGAATAAACAAGCAAAAACTTATTTAGGTTCCAGTATTCATAGCTTCTCATATTCACTAACCAACTATTTATAACAATTAACAATTTTAGTTATCAAAGCACAAAGCAAGAAACTGATCAATAAGTTATCTATGAATTATAAACCTTTCTTCCAATGCGAATATGTAGTTGACTGTGGAGCACATCCTATTGGACTTCGGCCCGACCTCTGATGCAATATTGACATAAAATGATAAAAATCCTGGGATTTCCAAGGGTCGTATTCCTTGAGGTCTTCTGATGCATAACTAATCACACTAACCATCATGACATACACGAAATAAGCAAGCAAACAAGAAGAATGAAGTTATTTTGGGGTTTCCGACTTATAAATGAATAAAAGTAAAGATAAGTTATTATAAGAGGTAGTGAACTATAACAAAATTATGCAAACTATGGCTCATTCACATCATGCATTGACGGTTCATCTATTGTAACACCTTGTCCCTTCCTCTAAGGCCACTCTCTACCTGTGCATGCGCCACCTGCGATAAAAATTTAACTAGCCAATGTGTCCTTTCGCTCATGTCATTACCTAATTAATGAAGAAAAATGAAGTTAGTATAGCATATAGTTAACCGTGGGATTCTACGAATCATAACTATAGTCAATAGCATCATTGATCTAACAGTGAAGCATTGATACTACTCAAAGGATACATGGTTGATCAAGCCTCCTAAACTATTGTAGCATCAATGGGGTATCCCTAGATGGTAATTTCTTGACAACCTAGGTAATACTAAGCACAATTCATATACTAGCATAAAATAGAATCATGGTCATGGATGGTATAAGAGCATTCATACTATAGAAACATCAATGACCATCTAAGCATCGAATAAAAGAAGCATGAGATGAAATCATAGGTAAATCATATAAAATATAGGATAAGCATC